GTGTATATATATATATATATATATATATATATATATATATATATATATAGATGGATGGATGGATGGATATCATGGTTCACCTTCGTGTCTCTTCTATGAGATGTGAGCTGTTACTTGATTCATACACAAAACTAAAAATGCATGAAGTCTTACCCACTTTGAATTGAGTTACGGTTTTAGAGGCACTTTTAATTACAATTTCTTTATATTATTGTTATGGCATTTTGAAGTCAATCGAATAGGTGTCCGTATAATTCTCATCTAATGACATCTACTGATATTTAGTATCCTGAAACTCATCTAGTGTCATTCTTCCTTGCATGTTGAATGTTCCTGAGCTTGATGATTTATAGGTTCCTTTTTCTTTCTGGGATATTTTAATCCTTAACTTTGATTGTATTTGATCTATATGTTTTTATTCCTTTTCTGCAATCAGGAACCAGAGATGGACAGACCCTAATAGTTAGGGAGGGAGATAACGGTGTTGCATACTCTTGGAACTCAAGGGAAACAAAATGGGATAAAGTATGTGGTTTTTGTTGGTTGGTTTAGGTATCTATTGTGGTTTCCTTTGTTGGTTTAGGTATCTATTGTTTTCCTTTTGTAGCTTACGGGTATGAATTTGGCTTTTCTGATTTAGAGGGAGGCTACTTTATCCACCTGGTCGAAATAATGTATCCAATGGCTAGTGATTTTTTAACTTTTTGCATACAAAAACAGGGAAAGCTTGCAAAATACTTATGTAACTCTTCCACGGTTACGTACTCATTTTTTTGACTTCTTCTGATCAGATTTGACTTCTGGCACAATTTCTAACTTACTTTTTTTGACTTACAACTATTTTTATTTGGATTACATATTTTGTCGAATTATTTATTACAACCTTGCTTTCATGTTGCCATGGAATGTAGAGTGTTATTGGATTCTTATCATTGCTAGCTTGGTTGTCTTTTCTTTGCACAATGTTATTTCCTTTGCCTTTCTGAATGTTGCGTCATGGGTTTTCTGGTTTCCAAAATCAACCAAAATCATCTATGACTCTAGGAGTACAATTGATATTTAAAAACCTTGCACTTTAGATTTAATGCTTGCATATTAGTCTTTTTGTTGATGCCTGTTTTACTTTATAATCGAATAAACCCTATTCTACATTATCTGATGTAGGAACATCTAACTCAAAGCTTGAGGGCTATGAGTGTGCCTTAATATTTTTGCTGTCAACTGTTTATTTAATGATTTGAACAGATTGGTGAAGTGGTGGATGGGCCAGAGGACAACATGGGTCCGAAATCCCTTGATGGTGTTCAGTACGACTATGGTAATCCCTTGATGATTACTTTCGTATTTTACTTTTTACAGTGTCTTCCATTTGATTAACTCCTTCCAATATTCTTTTCCAGTGTTTGATGTTGACATCGGAGACGGTGAACCCACTCGAAAACTACCATACAATCAAGCAGGTATTTTCATTACATTTCATGTTTTGTAATGGAGTTATTAGCTCTATCACTTCTTTATTTCTTCTTCTCTTTTACTTAAATATTTTCGGTGGGAATCTAGCTTGAATTAATGATCTTCAATGGAGTCTGATCTGGTTTGTTGGATATGGATTTTAAGATTCTAGGTTGCTTTTTTTGTTTTTCTTTTCTTTTCTTTTTTTTGGGATTTGGGCTAGAATTATCTCTTTGTACATGCACTCATGCATGTGTGTATGTACGTGCTCGTTTGTGGTTCTTGGGTATTGGGAATTGTTTCCTGTGCTTGTGACATAATCAATGGCTTGCTCATATCTCTTAACTTGAGGCCAATTTTTTGAAAAGTTACTTACTGCACAATTGGTATTTTCAATAGTGGTATATGAGAGATCATGGTTTAGCTTATTTTGAACTGCTGAAGAGACTCTAGTAGTTCTGTTTTGAGGGACTAATACATTAGTCGCTTTTTCTCGGTATATGATTTGTTTGCTTGGCATGAAGCACTTAGTCTTTAACCATACATTGTTAATGTTACTCAATGAAGCCTTATCAGATATTAGATAAGCTGATGGCATACAGTACCTAGTTCAAGTTGCTTATTGCTACTTGTCCTAAATTATTGGATACACAAACAAAGTTTCACTTGTTTTAAGTTGAAAAGACTTGGTTTCAGACCATAAAAATGATCCTACCTATTCGTGTACAATAAGATCATTCCAGATAACCCCTACGACATTTTTCATTCCAGATAACCCCTATGATGTTGCTGACAAGTGGCTTCTAAAGGAGAATCTTCCCCTCGCATATCGTCAACAAATTGTAGATTTTATATTGCAAAATTCTGGGCCAAGAAACACCTCCCTGAATGGCTCATTTGTCGATCCTTATACTGGAGGTGAGTTTGAAATGATTTGTTTGTTCTATGAATGATTCCAGAAGTTTGTCTTAGGGAAAACATCCAGAAGAAAACTATTCATTATGGGTTTTTGATATATAATTGCATTCTCTGCGTTCTCTTTCCTGTAATGCAATTTTCTGTTGTACTTCCTTGCTTCCAGCAAATGCTTATGTGCCGGGTGGACCATCAAATCTATCAGGTACATATATACGTATACCTTGTGGTTTTCTATTTGTAGTCAAAACTGGTTTCAACTCATCCTGAGCTATTAAAATTCGTTGTCCTGAGATGACAACTTCCCAAGGTCTAATGAACCTGTTTTGCATGATTTAATTTCTCTTATTCTGATATTGTTGTCCTTTCTTATGTCTTGCAGATATTCATAAGAAACCCAATTTCAAGCACATCCCCAAGGTAGGCTGTTTGTGCTTTCTGTGGATGAATGTCATATTATTTGCTCTCCTGTTAGTAAATTGTAAAATGGTATACAGATGCCCTTCTTTTGCATACAATTTATATTCTATGCTCAGGTGCCTTGGTTTTCTATTAATATATGTGTCTTCAAATCTTATATGTGGTATTTGCAAATGCACTTATAGAATATCAACGATCCTGAGCATGGTGAGTGGCATGCAAGGGAAGCTTGTTGCATGTTCGTGCTTTAAATAGGCAGTTTAGCTTAGGCAGGTAACATGGTTATTGGTTGAAGTCCATGCTTATCGCAATGCGATAAATGTGATATGAGCAAAAATGTGAGGGAGTTGCCACACGCATTGCATGCCAATGCACAACATATATGAATAGTCGCATTTTACACCTCTGTTATTGAATTTAGCCCATGTAAAGTACGAAGGCAATTAGAAAACTTACAATCAATTGGTCATTCTTTATATATAGTCTCTGGTAAACATGTCATTATGCTTGTTAATAAGGTTGAATCAATCATTCCCTGCTTATTGCTTCATATTTACTTTATCATTTTGTTGGGGTGCATGTCCACTTCTATCATATCTATATTTAATCTCCTTTTTGAGGATTATTCTGAGTTGTGAGGATGTGAACCTCAAGGTATCTATATTTAATCTCCTTTTTGGGGTGCATGTCCACTTCTATCATAACAGCTTTTACTTCGCCATTTATATTGCCATGCATAGTTGTTAGGTGTGAGACATGTGAAATCAAATGAAGTTCTTGAGGCCCAGAGTTAACTCAGGGTGTTCCCATCCTTAACTCAGGGTGTTCCCATCATTATTGATTCCTTTAAATTTAGCGCAGGCAGCATATGAGACTAAGACTGACTGTATTCTGGGAAGCGTGTACAATATCTTCCCGTTTCTATGATCTTGCCCTTTTTTGGGAATTGGTTCCATGAATTGTGAAGTCAATTTACATGAAAATCAATGTATATTGCCTAATCTCTATGGTCTAGGCCCTGTTCGTAGATCCTCTCATCTAAGAAACATTTGGAAGTCATGCTTTGTAGTCATTGCTAATATATTATTCATATTTGTGATTTGCAGCCACCTAATTTTAATAGTGGCTACTGTAGATAGCATTCAGTTGATGGTGATTATCTGTCATCTTTTTATGTTCAATACTGAATAGAAGTTGTTCAATATTAAATGGAGGTTGTAGTATTTTTTTAAAAAAAGTCCAATGACAGTTGTTCTGTTTTCCTTTCTCCGAAATAAATTAACTGCTGATCTCTTTTAGATAAATATTTGACTTTGTGAATATGTGTATGGGTGTGTTCTGTTATTTTCCCTTTTTTTTAGGTGCGAATAAATTAATTCTCAGAAAAATTTTACGCATTTCATAGTTGTCTCCAATTTTGATTTCTTTTATAATTCATTTTTAAATGTTTTCAGAGAGGGATGCTTTTGTTTGATGCTGCTAATTTTGATGGGATTCTTCGCAAGATTGATGAGTTCAATAATTCTTTGCTGGCAGATTCGGTAAGTGTTTATTTATTCTTGATGCCTTGTGCATTAGTGGAATTCTGAGATGGGTCTATGATACTGGATGAATGGGTTGTCTCTTCAAATTTTTTTCTCAGCTTGTTTATCTTAAGGTCTCATTTAGAGTTTGCTGAAAATTCTCATATTTACTTTTGGTCTTTTGTCTCAACTCTTTTGAGAACAGGTGAGTTAATAGGTCTGTGTTGAATAAAATGTCTTTATACTCACTTTACCAAAGTTTGAAGCAGACACCAGAATCATTGAAATGAGGTTCTTGCAAGCAGTAGTTGCACTAGAATGCATTTTTGTGATCTCTTAAATGCAAGTGAAACAGAGTGCAATAATTTTACAAGTAACAGTGAAACAAAGAGATGCTTGCAATTCTTCAATGGATCTTTTCTTTGAAATTTGTTGAGCAATTGTTTTGCAGCGTAATGCTATGGGGATATGCATTTACTGGTCACTGATGCTTTCTTTCGGTTCTTGGTTTATTACATTAGACTAAAGTTCTTGTTATAGTCCCTTTTTCTTTTTTCTTTTTATTTTATAAGTTTTTTTTATATTGTGGGATGTTTTTTTTTTATATTTTATAAGTTTTTTTTGATATTCTGGGACTATATGGTTTCTATCGGTTCTGAAGAAAGTCGTGAAAGTAGTGAGTCTGTAGAGTAGTGCAGCGTTATGCTAGCTTCTTGGGATCAGAGCATGCATCTGTCATGGTGGGTTGATGAGGGGATACTATGAGTCTTTGGTTGTGGTGGCAAATCCCTCAACATCATTAGATGTTCTGGTTCTCTCTTGCTGTTTGGTCAATATGAATGAGAGGAGGGACCTAATTAACTGATCCTTGTTTCTTCTTGGCATGGGCCAAAAAGACGCCATGAAAGGTGGCAAATGCCCTGTCAATTTGATGATGTGATTTTTGCTAGCAACCTAGGATCTTATTTCAGAGACCCATAGATCGTATTTTTCATGTACTTTTTTATATACTGGATGTCATGTTTATTGATGGAAAAAGTTGTTGCTTGTGCACTAAGCTAATGCAGGTATGTCCATGACCTGCAACACTTACTCCATCTTAACTACAATTTGCCTGTGTCATGGAGAAACAGTAGTGTCAAATGTCTAGCTGGACATGCAATATGTGGAAATTTCTTGATATTTTGCGTCTAGCTGGAGTAGACCTATAATATAGTCATACTGAAGCAATTATTCCACGCTTCATTTTGGGGTGAGGATGAGATATTGATTATCACAATGCTACGAGAGAAATTAATTTGGTTATTCTGTTTAGCTGTTGATAAAATTTTGTTTCAATAATGGAAAGAACTTTTTTCTGCAATTATAATGTTTGATTAAGGTCTTCTTTTCCATATCCCTAGATGATATCATTGCATGGACTTGTGCATATTCAAAGTGATGTGGTATACTGCTGGATAGCTAATAACTGTGTAAGGGTGGTTAATTGGAGTATTGTACTCCTATGGAATGATTGTCTTTACTGTTCTTTGGGAAGATAATTGGTTCATGTCAGTGAAATTTTTCTGTAGGTTCAAAAGCATTTGTCATTGACTGAACTGGAACTGTCAAAGCTGACTAGCATTGTTGCAGTACTAAAAGATACATCTCGTTACCACACTACCACTTTTACAGATGCTGAGTTACGTTTGTTGGTGAAGTTATTAGCACTTTGGCCGATTCCCATGTTATTTCCAGGTCAGCCTTTGTTATTGTTTATCCAATATGTTATTCTATTCTGCTTGCTGCTTTTCTTCAGATAATATTTGTTTATGAGTGTTGCGTGTAGCATCAACTGCATGTAGGTGCCTACTGATTATCAGTGTGCCGAGACTTGCCTCGGCCAAAGAGACACACCCCTTGGCAGAGGGGAGTTACTCGGATGAGTCCTGCAGACTTGGCTGAGTCATGCACAGGGCAAAAAAAGCCCCCCAAAAAATTAGGAAAAAAAAGAAAAATTTGAAAAAAAATTGTAAAAGTAAAATAAAACCAAAATAAACTTTAAAGAGTTAAAATAAGCTTAAAAAGTAGAGAAAAAATCTAGAAAAAACTGATTTACAATTTGGAATATTTTCTAAAAATCCAAAAAACGAAAAATATAAAAATAGAGATTATGGCCCAAAAAAAAAAAATCACCAATCTTTGACAAAAACATATAAATCATATGTAAGAAAAATTATAAAGCCATCTCACATTTTTTTACAATTTTTTTGGAATTTTTTTCAATTTTGTTTATGTCCGCGAGTTGTGCGAGTCACTGCAACAATAGTCCTTATGACACGCAATGCCATCCCTATTCCATGGAGATCATTCTATTTTCTTTCTATTCTCCAATCATGGGTGTGCTTCCACTGAGGCATTTTCTGCCGAGGCATTTTCTGGCATCTAGATACCAATCATGCAAGTGATTGTCAAAAGAGGAGACAATTTTTCTGAAAACTTCTATGTTGTTCTGCATGTGGATTGCCCTATGATAGAATTGATTTGGTAATGCAAGACTTTGGTTGAGGCCTTCTTTCACAAATGTTTTTTCAATGATCCTGAATGGTGAATGAGAGCACTGCAAAAGTTACTTAGAGAATATGAGTTGCATATCACCTTGAAAAAAATTACTTCGTGTTTATGAGTGGGGGGCATTAAGGTCATCATGACTGTTAAGGATGTCATTAGTATGGGACGTTTGGTAATTATTTGTTTTGAATTCAAGCACTTGCTAAGATACCAATTGTCTGAACAAGTTTATCAGTTACTTAAAATTGTGTCCCCTCCTCTCCCATATTGGAGGAGAAGAATAACTTCTATTCTCTCAGAGAATCCATGACAGGCAGTTCTTTGCTTGGGTTATGCTTTCAAGAAAAGCAAAAGACCTAGGTCTGTTTATTTGCTACTTGGTAGAATTTTCCATTACTATAAACATTGGTGGTTCATACTTCATAATACATAAGATATTACTTCTCTTCTTCCGCCCTCTCTCCCTATTACTTCTTTTTCTTTTCTATTCTCTCTCTCTCTCTCTCTCTCGCTCTCCCCACTTTCCCCCCTTCTTTATTCTGGTTCATTCTCCCTGTTTTGTTCAACCCGTCCCTTTCTACCCTCTGGGTGTTTTTTGTTGCAATTTGAGTTCCATAGGCCCCTCTCTTCTCACTGTCACTAGCACTAGTGCCAGAGCAGCCAACATTGGGGTTTCCATTCACTCATTTTTAGTTAATAGTTGAGCATTTTTTGCATAGAGCACCTGGCTTGTAGACTGCTTTACACTCACTTCTCGTGGGTACCTTTGGACATCATTTCTACATGTAATATATTGTCACAAAATTAAGGAAAAGGATACATAAGATATGCTTTAAAAAAAAAAAACCCATTTTCATCTTTTTGTAGTCTGTCATTTAATCTGGTTTTTTGTGAAGAGACGTTTGCAGCCTAGAAGTGAGTTTGGGTTTTTTTGAAGGAACATGGATTTGATAGTTTCTTCTATTTATTTTCTAAGTGGATCATTGTTCTGTTTTGCAGTTATCGATCTTGTGAAAATGATTGTGTTACATCCTCAGGGAGCAACTTTATTGATGAGATATACTGAAGATGGAAATGGTAATTCACTATCCTTTTGTTCAGGTTTTTCTTTCTACCACTCCATACCAACCAAAACTTTTGAAAATTGAGAGCATTGCTCATTTGGATTTGTGATATCATCTTCCATTTTTAGAAAACATTGTTTGTTGAGTAGTTCTGTGGTCAACAACAGATGTATTAGCGGAGACCTTTAGAAAAGCTACAACTAGCCCTGCTCAGTTAGGCAACCAATTGACTAGCATTCGCACTGTTGTAAATCTTTTCAAGAGTTCAGGTTTCCACAATTGGCTACAACACCACCGAGATGAGGTCAGTGTTTTCTATTAGTTAGTTCTTGTTTTATGATTGAATGCATTTTAGGTTTGCCTTGAATCATGCCCACTCCCACCAGATTAAAGCTCTTCTCAGTACTTCCATGGAATCTCATTTCGTGACTTGCTTGTTCTTTTATTTGCCATTCAATTTTTCTTCAAGAACTTTTCATATGGAAGGATTCTATTAAATTTTCCCACAAGTGAATTGTAGTCTATTGTGGCCATTTTCGAAACCTATTACATGGTTTGCTACCATATTGCTTGAAGCTCCTCCTGTATCAAGATTTAGGGTGCAAATGTCTACTAAGATGCTGTCACGCTGGGAAAATAGGGGTTATTAAATGTAATTATGTAGCTTTGGTGGCCAATCCTTAAATGGTGGATTTTCAAATTTCAACACCTCCTAGAGAAAATTGGTAAGGATTCGCCAACCGCCAGTCCTGCAAGTTATATTGAATTAGTAGACTATAAGAGATTGGGAGGAGAACACTATTAGACGTCCATGAATTTAGGCATGAAAACATTGGAAGGCCTTAAGTTTAAAATATCTAAAACAATTGTTGATTATGCTAAGTCTTTTACAAAGCATATTAACATACATACCATTGCAAAATGTACCAGATGCATGTTGCCAATGATGGATTCTTCCTCAAGATAAAGAGATCCTAGAACTTGCTATTACTGGTTATTAACAAAACTCTAGTACATCACATAAATACAACTGAATAGTTGTACAGCTCACTTATTAAGGATATGTAAATAATAAACTTTGGCCTCCATTATTTTCTATAACTGATGTTCATCCTTGCCATTTGAGCTCAAATTTGAAGTTTAAAACATGAAACCTTCGAAACATTTGATTTTGCAGAGGGTTTAAGGATTATAGCTCATCTCTTGTGTGTTCCCTTCAAATCCTTTTGAACTCATAGATCTCTAATTCTCTATTATTAAATCAATGTTAAATTTCTGTTTAAAAAAAAGAAAAAAAGAAAAAGAAAATCAATGTTGCAGTTTATGAATTGGTCATCACTCTTGCTCGTTAATGTATCTTTTGTCGCTTTCTAATCCACGGGGTTTCACATCTAGCAATGCTTGCGTGGGGTTTGTAGTCCATACTGTAGTTCCTTTTTTTTTTGACAAATATTTAAAGCAGTTTGTTACTTGACGGACATTTTTACAGTAAAGGTTTTAAAGTATTTTGTGTGAATATAGTGCTGCTGCTCCTTTGTGGTTACCATATCTGATCTCCTTTTTCAGATTTTATTGAGTAGCTTTGCATTTTATGGTTTAACTCTGCTTTTTGAGCTTGCAGATTCTCGATTTATTCTCACCTTGCTGTAACTCTTCCAATAAAAGCCTGCAACTGGCATATTCAACTCTGCTACTCAAGTCAGTACTTGTTATACCTTCTTCCAAGACCCTATATTTTTTCCTTATTTCACTCTGGTGATTTACCTCGCCATGCGATGATGTTTTGTGTTGTATAAGAGCACCAACAGTTGAAAATCAATCAGAAAACAAAAAGATGCTCTTAAGAACTATAGTGCATACATTGTTTTCTAATTGAGATCTGAAGGGTTGAATCCAGGCCTTAATTTTCGCTTTGGGGCCCTTGGATATTAGGATATTGGTTTTCTTTCCAAGATAGCTCTTGGAACATGTTAATTTTTCTTCCTCAGTCAATTTGTTCCAATATTTACTGAAACACCAATTATCAAAAAAATATTTACTGAAACACCAACTTAAATTTATCATTTAACTTTGTGTTTTTTAGAAAAGGTCTACTTCGTTTCACTTTTGATGATAGGGTTGCATTGTATTTGGTGATTATTTTTTGATTTTGATCTCTCCTCATATCTCGGCAGTTATACGGTGTTGTTGAATGAAAAGAAGGATGTCGATGGCCAAGCTCAAGTTCTTTCAGCTGCTCTAGAAGTGAGTTTTTTGGCTTTTGACTGGTACAAAACCAAAATTGCTGAGAAGAAGTATGCAAAAATCCAATGGAATATGGAAAAAGTATAGTCTGTTGGGGTCATTACCATCAAATGAAATTGTTGATTAATGGAGAGAGTGGGTCCCACCAGAACAGGAAGTGACCCCCAACTGGTATTCCATAGTCCCTTGGGTTATACTATGAGCTGTTGATTTTCTGTAACTCTTTTATTGTGACAAAAGCTGTCTAAGAAAACCACAACGTGACTTTATTTTAAACAGTGCATCCCACGTGAAATGCAGATGGCAGAGGATGAAAAGCTTGATCCTGATGCAAGATTTCGTGTGCTTGTTGCAATTGGTTCACTTGTATCCTTGAATATCACTCTTCTACATATGTCTACGTGGGTGTTGCTCTTTAAGATTTCACACAAAACAATAAACAATAGGTAAAATTTAAGTTCCACACTTCGCATGTTTTGTCATATTCATGGGAGAGTCTTGGAAGGAACAGACTCAACATGCTGGGAGTATAAATGTTAGTTAACAATAAACATACGCTTCATGTATTTATAAATATAGAAGCTCCTAGATCAATGAATTAAAAGATACAAATAAAATTGATATTGCAGAAGTCTTCTCTACCTGTTATTCTTGATCTGATACATGAACAGATGCTTGAGGGCCATATGAAAAAGATAGCACTGGACTTTGATGTTGAAAATGTTGCTAAAGCCGCGAAAGCTTCAAAGATGGCCAAGATCGCAGAAGTTGGAGCTGACATTGAATTCCTTAGTAGTATACCATAGCTCAGGTAACGTTTGTGCTCTTTTTGGAACATGAAATTGTTCGTAGTAGTCCAAACAAAAAAAAAGTAATTACTTATTAACCGGTAACCCTTCTTGCAATGGAAAGAAAGGATATGGGAACTTTTGAACTTTTAAAACTTTTGACAAATGCATCTGATCTATCTGTGAAAGTTTTGGTGAGGACATGATATTGTCATTATTATCATGAGATCCACTTGGACACCCCACACAAAACACGTACACACAAGTACAAAAATAAAACAACCAAAAGAAAAAGTTATTACCTTTACCATTAGTCTTTGGAAATAAGAAATCGTGATAGAAGTTGGGATTGTAAACTATAAGACCATTTACTTTTGGTACAAGGAGATCATAATTACTTATAAACTATCAGATGTGAAATTTAATAACTTGAAAATGTTACAAAGTTCAAGAAAATTTATTTTGAACTTTGAACTTGGTCAATGTAATAGATGCAACCACCCAATTTCACATCCGATGGTCAAGATTAGTCGTCATCACATTGTACCAAAGGTAAATAGTTTCATTGTATACTTTTCCATAGAAATTTATGAGAGACAAATAGCTTTAAGAATGGGCTCAAGGCTTAGGTGGTCAGGTTGGTGAGTGGCACAACATAACATCTTGAGTTCTATTCCTATTATGGGTAGGGGATCCATTCTCCACTGATCCATAAAAAAAAAGAGTAAATAGTAAAAAACGAAGAGAGTCAGAGAGAAATTTTATAAATAAATATGTAAAAGTTAATTTTTATTTTAAAGTAAGAATAGGGAAAGTTGACTTCATCTTTTGTCTTTCTTTTATTGATAAATTTATTTTTTTAAAATTCAATATTATTCCTGGCATTTCTCAGCGAATTTGTCGAAGAGAAGAAAAATTTGAAAATCTTACTTGAAATTGCCTCGCTTAGATTGAGATATCACTTGGCCCAACGTTATTTAGCACTGATACAATAGACCTAAAATTAGTTGCTGCCCATTGTTTTGTTGGTGGAATAGAGATGGTGACTGCAGTACGAAATGAGATGGGGAATAGAGATGGTGGAATAGAGATGGTGACCTTTCAGTCTGGCACTCTCACTTTTGTGTAGCTTTAGCTGAAATGAGATGGGGCAACGAACAATTATTGAGGCAGGCAATTTGAGTTGAGTTTTATGAGATGTGAAATGGGTGCTCGGTGGGACACAGCCTACCCATATTCATTATTCATCTCGCTTTCCGGCTAATATTTGAGTCATATTTAAAGTGAACTGCAAATTTGGGTTGTCCTTGTTTGTAGAAAACTTTATAACAATAAGAATACTGGAACACTTCGAATGACAATAACTTTGGGATGGTGGTTACAGTGGGCATTCTGGAAAGAGATTTTTGCCCTACATTTTTGTGGCCTCTCTCTCCTCTCTCTCCATCTTTGTTTGTGGTATAAATCCGAGCTTGTTCTTGATCGTCATCTTTTTCTCAGGAATCGTTACAGGTGAGCTTTTCTCCATTTCCATCGTGATGTCAGCTTTTGTATATTTTAATGCTTGCGCGATATTCACTTTGTGATGTTCACTTTTACATTCTTGATCATTCTTTTGAGGGGCAATGATTTCATGCAATCGTTGTATAATAATATGATGCAACAACTTTAATAAATTATCTTATAGCCATTTTTTTAATCCAAATTTTGAAATATACATTTTTTTTATTTTAAGGAACAATCACAAAAAAAATAAAAATTGAAAGCACAACTTACAAAGTATTTTTTAGGCCAATTAACATAGGCCGTTCATTTGGTGAGATGTTTAGATCTAAGCTTTAGAA